TTTGTTTGTTTTATTTTATTTTTTTTTTTTTGTAACTTATCCTGATTTCAATTTTTTCTGTGTGTAATTTCGAAGATGTCAAACAACTGTACAAGTGAGGTATATATATAATTCAGTTGCCGGTTTTTAATTTTTCTTATAAATAATTACTTCGTTGAGGTCTAGGGCTTGATTGCACTAGGGTACCCCGTTGTTCGTCCTGTTTACGAATATCGACATGAAATTTCTTTATATCCTAAAAAATAACTCGATGTCTCTACAGCCAAACTCTCTCCTCAGTGTTGGAACCGTTATATTTAAGGTGTCCTGGCGCAAAATGTTGTCATATCTCAAATAAAAATAAATATAATTAACAAAATCGGTGTTTAACATCTTTTCCCAAAACGGTGGTCTATAAAATTTTAACCAGTTTTTCCAAATAATTAAAAAACGCAGTGGGAGGGAATTTTTTTAACAGATTATCGCAGAACACTTTTGTTAAGTGCATGGGTCATCGTTATTTTTAGAACTAACGTTTCTCTCTTAGCTTGAACAGTTATTCAATGGTTATTATACGACTAACAAGGGGACAATTGTGTTAATGTTATCTCTAACGGATTTATTTTTTTTCTCTTTTGTTCTGATTACGAATCATTTTAACAGTATTTGCAGTTAACTTTGTTGATCCTGTCGGTATCGGAAATATTTAAATCCGGTTTCGTTCTGTCCATGCGAACAAACACTTGTAGTTAAAAACATTGGGGTGTCTTAGCAAGGATTAACCAAAAGGGCGGAGAGCTGATCGAATGGAATCGAAACAAAAAGGCGGCATCTGTGTTAGTTTCGTCCATGATTACCTTCTGAAGGCTGTGGTCTGGAAACCGGAAGGTCCGAAAGGCCTGTAGCTTTTTTAAACTTCTCTCATAAGCTTTCGTATTAGAGTATTGAGTGGGATTTTTGATGCACTATCAAAACACAGGTGGGAAAAACTGTATTCCTGAGACATTCGTTTCTTCTAGAAAACTTTTATTAGCTAGTCCGTTCCAAATTGTGTTCAGTACATGACTGATTCGATCAGAGTGAAGATTATGTCTGGTTCTATGAGTGGGTGGAGCGCTCTCAGCTGAAACAGCACCATTTTGGGGTATGATAACCTTAAGCTATCCTCCCGGCCACGTCTCGCCCACGTTCCTCGCCCACGTTCCTCGCCCGTTGGGAGTTCGCGACTCCCAATTACGTCATCCCCGTACCCGCAACACAGCGCGCGCAAGTGAATTTTCTCATCGGCGAGATGCGAAGTACTTTTAGGATAGGCGTGTTAAATCAGCATCTCACAGACTTTTATTCTCAGCAAGCTCTCGATCTTCTTCACCATTCTTTACCATATTTGTGAATCCACGGCTTCGATTTCTCGGGTTCCAGCTGGTCATAACTCCAAGGGTTAGCTTTTACACTTCGTTACCCCTCCTTAGACAGTTCAAAACACTGTTTAGCTCCCCGATATATTTAACATCTGCGCAGCAAGCTGCACGGAGCAACGCCTGACATAATTACAGGCAATCAGGCGTCGCATAACTTGAAAATAGCTACAAAGCTATGCCGCATTAGTTCCAGTATTCCTAAAAACAACCTTCTGTGATCATCAAGGCAGAAAAAAAAAAAGCTAACGCCCGAAAAACTCACAGCAATTACCGACGGTGTTTCTCAGCCCACTTGCTAGCGGTCGCAAGTTTAGAAGCAATTTTTCCTTTTACATTATCCGGCAAAAGACGTGATTCACTTGTACTCGTTCACAATCGATTCACAAGGAAAGCGAACAATACAGCGGGGTCAGAGGGTCTTTACGCAGACACTTGAGAGGAAATCAGGTGATATGACGACATAATCGCTACATAATTATCATCCGTGAAATACCATGTAACATTACAAGGAGTACTGTTTATTATGGCAAGAAATATCTGTAATTAAAATTGAGACTTAACGTGCATGCTCTCTGACTTGAAGCAAGAAGAGCACCTTGGTAATGTGAATACAAACAATTTTTAAATGCAAATACCAGTTCCTATACTGTACCCGCATCTTTTCAAAAGGGGTATCCAGTTGTTACTCGTTCAGGCCCGACACCGCTTGAAACTTCGATTCTTGCCCCAAAATTACTCATCTCAGCTTTTCTTGTTCACGAAATCCTACATTTAGACTGCAGTACTCTTGCGATCTAACAGTTTTGTCGACATGATACTGTTAAAATTATCCGGTATATAAGACTTCCATCACCCCTCAGTCAGCGGGGATTCATAATAGCGCAAAAGGGCACAGGATAGACATTTCTTCGAGCAATACACCGGTTTCGACAAGGCACATGATTTGAGAATGAGCACAGAGTGTACAAATGACTGAGAAATTGAGTCAAAACCTTAAAACGTACCATTTTCCTTCGACTCTCAGCGTCGGCCGACGTCTTCGTAGTAGGGTCCTTCAAAAAAGTCGAACGATAAACATAGGTGACAAAACAGGTTTCAGCTGAGGTTTATGTGCGAAACGAATTTTGGTGTGAATAACACAACTGTACTTTATACGATGATGTGATAAATAATTTACTTACTCTAACTCGGGGCTCCTCTCCGTAGGTGGTATATAGGGTACCTATCATGTTTTGATCGTTGTTTGTATGAAGAAAGCTACGATCTCTCAGTCTTCTGCTTGACCGGTGAAGGAACACATTTAGATCCGCTGGGGCGCGCTAATATGTAAACCGGACACACGCTGTTAAAGCTTGCGTGACATTGAACTGAAGCGTGACAAACCTGCGGCTAACCTGACTAATATGGGACGAGGGTCAAGGTAAAACAGAACTCCTGCTTGATATAAGATCGGTTACCATGGTAAGCACTCAGCCGAAAAAATGGAACGTATGCAAATCGTTCAAAACGATAATATAAGCTAATCTTTTTACAGCTTCCGTTGCCTTTGTTAATCCTTAATCGTTTCCGTCGATCATTATTCAGTAACGTTTATACCAAGAATTTTTTGTTCGTGCCGGGAAGAACCCCGATAATTAAAAAGCACTTCACAGCGTTAAGGAAATCCGTCAGCGTCTATTTCTGTTTCAGTGATGCAAGGAATTTTGAAATATTGTTTTTGCAGCGAAATAGATATGATTAAGATTAATTGCAATTTAAAAACCACAGCCGCTGGCTATATCATTACTAGCCACGCAACATTTTCACGTTTTTCAGCTTTCGGTATCCCATCGCCATATCGTTTCGTCTGCCACTTGTCATATTTCTTTCGTTCCCACTTTATAAAGATGCAAGATTAGAATTCATCTCTCCTCAATTGTAGAGATCCCGAGATTAGTCTAAAACTCGCATTTCTGTCCCAGTCAAGCGATTTTTCAACCGGCTTCGCTGCTTTATAGCGGAAAAAAAACACTCTACATTTCTGATCAGATCTTGATGCTCTACTGGTTTCATTATTTTAAAATCCCTTTTTATGCCGATTTTGTTGAAATCGAATCCTCAGAAATTGGAAGTAAAGTATGCCTGTCTGACTGTGTTCTAGACCTGCTTAATTTATAGCCGTCGTGGTCATCACGCCCAGCGATTTTCCTCGATAAGCTCGTTTGGACGCCAGACATGGCAAAATGAGATCCCAAGTTCTATAATCAGCGGTTCAAATATTTACACTCCTAGCGAAGAAAGTCTAAGGCCTACTAGAGATTCCTTACAAACGGTCTGTCGAAATAAGACCCCATTGATTACAAAATCAATGAAGCTATTTTCAGGAATTGTGTCGGTGGTTTCGTGACAAATCGCCCTTCGCATTTTGTCGGCTTTCTGGCAGATTCTTTTAATGCTTCTAATAATCTCGTCGAATCGGCCCGAGAGCGTCCGTCTCAAATCACGCCACGCCAACTTTCCCCTCTTACTGTGGGTCAAGAGATGGGTTCAAGGTAGCTTTTAGCAATATATGACTCGTACCGCTTGCTAAGCCAATATGTTTGCCTGAGGTCATTTGGCGGTTTTCGGTGCAAGAACGAGCATAGGTGGCCAAGTGACGAACGAACACCCCACGAAGCTACCTTGCCCCCGTGGGGCTGGAGAGAAAAAAAAATAAAGCAGTAAGTTAAGCACAAACAAAAACGATTGTAGAAGACTTAAGTTATACTCATACACCACTGTCGATTTTCATCAAGAGAAAATGAGGTATCATGCCCCCCCCCNTGCTAAGCTTGCGATCTCGACGAGCTCGAGACAAAATAGTGGACAGACTATCTCCAAACTGGATATTGCAAGCCATCGGATTGTGCCTTGAAACAAGCTGGCCAAATTAGAGAGAGATTCTGTGAAATCGCAGAAAGTTACTGAGGCGCTAATTAATAGTTCTGCGAGGGCCAATAATTGCTTATTAATTAGTGCGTGAATCTATGTGCATGTGCTGAAGCACCAGTTGAACAAGCGCACCTTTACGATAAGAGGCGGATCGCTGTCGTGTACCAAAAGACAATCTTGCGTTACTGTCGTTTCTTCTTTTACCACATCAGAAGGACATGAGTTAATCAAAAAAAATATTAACAGACTTAAAATAAGAGAGTATTTTAAAACAAACAACCGTGCTCAAGGAGAAATAAAAGTCCTTCACTCCAGGTGGTTAATTATTTTAAGTGCCGACAACAAACGAACGACCAAAATACAATGGACAGGCCACAAAACTCTCTAGATGTTTTGCATGGCTGCCCAACTTCAGGCGATGTTTATCCCTTAATTATAACCGAGGTTTATTGTAAAATTTACATATTTTGATTCCAGGCCAATATTAATACAGAGAGCAACCCCCCCCCCCCACAAAAAAATAAACAAACAAACAAGCAAACAAAACTAGTAAGATTACAGCTATATATATAAAAAGGACAGCGATGCTCGTCGTAAATTTTGAAAAGAATCCCTAAGAGGTACCAAGATCCTGTTTTGTGGCCATGGCTTGAATTTTTTTCACTCCTAAGAGGTACCAATTCTAAAACATCGCATTACCTTCTGTCATAGTTTTTTTTTCCCCTCAATACCGCTGTATAAAACCAAACCCCGGAAGGGACACCTATCATCAAGGCAGGAAAAAGGTCGGAGGTAAATACCGGCTATCTTAAAATGCTTGAAATCTGTCTGTTGTAAGGGATTTGTTTGGTAGCTTCTAGTCCCAATTGCATGACACGCGGTGGTATAAACTGTTGGAGCCCTCATCTGCGGTCAGCGATTCGGCCAAACATGGGTGCCTACGTTAGCGGAATTTCCACTCTTCCTCCTTGCAAGATATTGAACAACAGCAACAACGTCAAAATTAACAATGACAAAAAAGAGCAACAAAACACTCAAAGAGGCGACTCTGATGCAGTCTGTACTCTACACGGTCATTATCCTGACTCTGCTGAACATTTCTGCGCGATTTGCCGTGCGCGAAGCGATAGAGGGAACTGGATTCTAGAGCAAGCCCACAAGCCCTTGCAGCGCGGTTCGCAATGGCGGCATGGCGCTTATTTCGAATGACAAAACTCTTTTGACATTGTCAATGTTCTGGTAGATAAACAAAAGAGGTTTTAATTCAACGTAAAGAAAAAAGCTATACAATGAACAGTGTGGAAAGGTTGGATGTTCATCCTCGAATAATAACAGCGCTAAAGAAAGGTAAGATCTGAAAGTTCCCCGGGATCCCGCCAAGATCGAGGCGCCAACTGAGATGAATTGTCAAGCTCAGCTAACTAGCTCCCCTTAGCTTCGAATTCGCTTGAACTCATACGCTCTATGCGTATACCTGGCCTAATCTTTACCATCCTTGTTCTGAGGTGAACATATTTATATGATCATCGCAGCTACCAAACTCTTGACAGTACAGGCGACTTTCTCAAAGACACTGCCTCGACTCAAACCTGGCCTGCAACTGACTACGTACTGTCACTCGTGAGGGAAGGGTTGGTCTTACTCTAACGGACAGTCAGTAGGGTAGTGCAGTTCTGGTCCTTCATTACATGACAAAGTGAGACATATCTAGATGCTTGGAACCATAAAAAGACATCTCTAGCTAGTGTCAGTTGACAGTACGGGAGTTTCAAAGTCTTAATGTCCACTATAGCTGACTAGTGATCTAGCATCCATAAATTTTTAATGCAAGGTGTCCATCTCAAAGCTTATTGGGTTGCAGTTCAGTAAATTACAATATTTAGAGAGGAACCACATCAGCCTTAGCTGGTTTTTATGTGGATCCTCTGTCCTGGTTGAATTGGAATTTGGAGATGTTGGTTTCTGTAGAGGAAGGGAAACCGTAGAACCTGGAGAAAAACCTTGGAACAAGGCAAGAACCAACTACAAACTCAACCCACCTATGACACCAGGCTGGAATCAAACCCAGGCCACACAGGTGGGGGGCAAGCGCCCTCGCCACGGTGCCATCCCTGCTCCCTGTAAAAGAAAAATGGCAGGAACTAATTCTAATCTTGGTGTCCATTTAAGATATGTGCATCTTGTATAGTTGCCTGGCTTGTATAGTTGTCTGTTTAGAGAATAGTCACGGTATTACATGTACTGCTTAGTATTTATACAATTTACAATTATTGGTTTTAATCTAATTATAGCAAAGTTGGCAAGCCAAACCGCAATTCTTTGCATGTCAGCATCAGATCTGGAGAGGACCACAAAGCTTTCATCGTTTGATGTCTCCATTCTTATAAAAGCTGTGGCATATTCTCTTCCGTGTCCAACCATGAGAACAGCACTGTCATTATGTAACAATGACACTCACAATCACAGTTCAAACAAGGGACATAGATTGTCTTTAGGGTGCCAAATATTGGATGGCTTCCTACGTGGGGGCATCCTGAGAGAAGGCATCACAGAGATTACAGGAGAGAGTTCCTCTGGCAAAACACAAACTTGTTTACAGCTGTGTCTTTCAGTTCAGTTACCACTTGAGCATGGTGGCCTTGGAGGGGGTATGTGATCTAATCATTCTGTTTGTCCGTTCTCCTATTTCAAAATCATGAACTTAAAACTTTATGCTACCAGCTATATATTTTCTCCAGGTTACATTTCCCTTGCTTATGTCATAATCTCTGACTTTCTATTTGACAATCCAGTGTACAGAATACATGTATTTTTAAGAGAATCAGATGTTGATGCTAACATCACTGACTACTTAATATTCTTTTTAAACAGGTGCAGTTTACATTTCAACTGAGGATGTTTTTCCCAGCAAAAGACTTCATCAACTTACACAGAGTTTTGCCAAAGGGGAAGCCAGTCTCACTGACAATATTTTCATTGAACATGCCGCTGATGTGGTAAGAGAAAGTAGTAAGGAAAAATGAGCTACACTGTTACCTAACCTAGCAAATCTCCTGTGGTTACCAAGGGGCAATCTCTGCATTTCTTACAGTGCTACCTGCATTTGATTCTTTATACCCAAGGGCATAAAATGTAGAAGACTTTTCTTGATAATCAGTTCCTTTGTACAGTGTAACTCTCAATTTGGCAGAAAGAAATCTCAGTCTGATTGAAACTGTGTCAGTGCTTCAAATAGTAGACTCGCAATGAATGCCACTGGGCTCCTCTACTTTCTTTCGTGGGAAGAGGCTGTTCATAGACTATGATCAGGCAGCAATGTTTTGGGCCTTCTCTTCTAGTCACTTAAGTCTGTAAAACAAATTAGCAATCAGAGGACTCACAACTGAAAATCAGGCTAAGATAAAATAATCAATATATTTCTCAATAACATTGCAGGATGACTTACGGAACATCATAATGCATCGCTTGCCTGTGCTGCTGAATAGAGGAGCCATTAAGCTTGTGATCATCGACTCCATTGCCGCCCTCTTTCGTGTGGAGTATTCACTTGGAGAAACATCCAAGCGAGCAAAGATTCTCAGGTCATTTGGGGCACAACTTCACAAACTTAGCAATCTGTATTCTATCCCAGTTGTATGTGTGAATCAGGTTTGTGTCTGACCCTTTGTTTATTCAGCTACAAATGTTGATTCCTGGGTTTTTGGCAAATGATTTTAACATGTTATTACCAGTTGACAATTTAATCTAATTAGCCAAATTGTTTTAATAGTATGGTAGCCAGAAATGGACCATCTTCAGTGATCTGAATGTCGTTTAAAATGAACTTGACCAGAAGTGATCTTCAGAGAAAACCTGGGAATTGTTTTACAGTAACTGTATTTGACTGTCAGAATTTGACATTAAACTCGCAATTAATGACATTTTTTTATGTTACTTTGTTTTTTAAAAGCACTTGATTACACACACAATTTATATGCACAACTCTGCAAGTTATCTATTGCATCCTTGTCTTTTTTCTATATATCTATCATTCATACATTAATAATTTTGATTTTCTACTTTCAAGGTCTCTGATGTTATTCAAACTGAGAAGAACAGGTTTGTTTTCATCTATTCTAAGTTGACAATATAAGCCAAATAAATATTTGATTGAATTCTGAAAGCAAACGGTGTAATGAAGGCATTGAAAATGTCATCTGGAATCTTTGAAGTCTATGCACTTATTTTTTTTTAAAATGATTATCCTATTTCAGATAATTAATGCATAAAAATACAATCATTTATCATCGGTCCGCTCTGTCAAGAAAACAATTTGAAAAAGTTGTACAATTACCCACTAATCATGAACCTTTTCTTTTTTCTTCCTGTCAGATGGATGAGTGGAAATAAGGCAGTAATTCCTGCTCTTGGAATGGCTTGGTCCAGTATGGTGACTGTGCGTCTGATGTTATCCCGCACAGAACAACTGCTGCAGGTATGTGTGTGTTTTGTAGGAGCAGGCAGGATGTCAGAAGTAATTCAGTCAAGGCTAGAGATTAATTCGCTGTTAGTCAGGATTAAAGAACTCCAGTGTAAAGTAGGCAGCAAATTATTGATTGTAAGCAGGCAAAAAAAGGTGGCTTCAGTGGAACCCCACTAATGCGGTCACTAATGGGCCATGAAAATTTGGCCGTATTAACAGGGTGGCTGTGTTATTAACGAGGTAGAGTCAAACAAACCTCTTGACTGGTCTAAATTGAGTGGTCTTAACAGATTTATCACTAACAACTGTTCTTTAATAAGCAGCCAGTATGCAGATATAATTTTAAAAACGTTGAAACTTCAATTGAAGTACATACAATATTAACAATGGAAAGAGTAACATAACTGGTTTGAGTGGCTGTATAAATTGTGTAAAGTGTAATAAAGGATTATACAGGTTGGGATTTCAGAATCTGGCCGTTGGTCTCTGGGAAAGTGGACGTGATAATGAGGTGACCGTATTAACATGGTGACAGGGTTCCACCATACCAGCTTATTTTGACAGGGCTGTTCATGCATGTCATTGAGATTTGTGTTTGGTTTTGGTTTTTTTGTCTAAAATAAGTGCTCCCTTAATGTGACGATAATGACATCATTTGGTAAAACAGCTTCTTGTCGTCAGCATTGCACTTTGAGTCAATATATCATGAAATTTATGAGGAAAAGATCTTGGTGTGCATGAGAGATCAGTGGAGAGAGGAGTGTAGTGCAGGGACAGCTGTCATTAGTCTGAATATTTCTGACAAACTCTATTCCTTCCAGCTGGTTTGCAGTTTCATTTGGAAGCTAATAATGGCTATGCTTCAAGCCCTGTTTTGAAGTATTTTTTAAAAGCACCATTGCAGTTTTCACATCATGTCACTTGTTAGATTTATCCAACACATTTACCCCTTTCTAATTTGTTGCTGACCATTTAATTCTTCAGGACAATGGCCTCATAATCAAGAGACATCTAAGAGTCGTGTTTGCACCTCATCTTCCAAGTTCCTCTTGTGTATTCTACGTAGATGCTGCTGGTGTTCATGGCTATCAAGATAACACTGACGGCTTTGGTTGAATTACACTGTGGATCTACATGATTCTCAGCTTGGTCAACATGAAGAAAGTCCTGAGTATTTATAGTTGATGTCGCAACAAAGGCCTCAAAAAGAGGGTCTTATGGAATGGGCTTTTCAAAAGGGGTCATCCCAGGAGCCTCTCATGGTGCCACATAGAACTTCTATGAGGAAGTGGCCTGAAATTAGGACCAAATGGGGCATGAAAGCTCCCTGCCTGAAGATTCAAATATGAACTGCTTTGCATTATTGAGGAATAAGAGGAACTGGAATTAATTATTTCTTTTGTTTTTTTACCCCTATGCTTCAGCATTAATTTAGAATTTTGATTTATTTTACTCCTCCATTCCTAAAAACTGCCAAACCCATCCTTTTGAACTTCATTGTTTCATACATGTAGATGCCCCTTCGCCACTAAGAAACAGTTTTGACAACATATAATTTGTTATAATATTTTCACCGGCTGATTAACTGATTTCCTGGGTGCCATTTGTCAACAGTCATGGAACAGGTCTTTTTCTATTTTGTAAAAACAAGTTTATTGATATCACTGGCAGCCACATTTGAACTCCAAGGAGTAACTCATTCATGATTAATTTTATCATCAAAGCAAAAATACATCACAACAATCTGACATTGATAGTCAAGTTCATGTATCAAAAAATAAAATAAATTAAAATTGCTGCTATGAGCAGAAATGTTTAGTACCTTATTACTTACATTATAGAACTGAAGTTAAGAGAGAGAGTTTTAGTGGAGACAACAAAAATCACGGTGTAGAAAAAGTTGGTATTGGTACAAGTCAAAAGTACCATGAACACTTTAAATTTGATTCTGACAGGTCAATAATTTGTGCAATGACCAATCACAACAAAGTTCAGGACATGCAAGCAAACCTCAAAACCACAAACCAAATTTAATTACTGTTGCTGTTTGTGGTTTAGTTTTCTCCCACCTAGTTAGCCTTTTCCTTGATACACGATAACATTCCATAAAAATTTCTGGTGTTCACGGTTTTCCAAGTGTCACAGTAATATGGGTGTAAGGTGAAGCTATTTCACAGACAAGCTACTTACTGTAGAAACAAAACCTTGTAAATTTTTGAAATCTCAGCAACACCTACAAGTCTAAGGATGTGAAGTTTATATGAAATAATTCATTCACCTACAAGTCTACATGTACATTGTAACAAAGAGGATTTCAGACTATCTTTCAAACAAATTAGCAGTCTCTTTTAAGTATCTAGAATGACTTTACTTTACTCATGAAACATCTAAAAATAAGTCAAAAATAACCAAAACTAATGAAAGAAAACATTGAGAGTTATGTCTAATAGAATCTAATTGTATACTACTGTATTTCACGGGTTGGGTAAAATCATTCTTTAGATCTATATGGTATCTGTCTAACTGTACAATGTTCTTGTTTGTTCTAGTTTTAAAAGAACATTGAAGTTGATTTAATTCAAATGGCCAGTTTGTATTTAACACAGTTTGGCCCTGCTCCTTATTTCGAAAAAAAAAAAAAAAAAAAAGAACTCCAAATTTAGAAAGCAAGTTTTGCTATACATATTTGCCAACAATTGATCCTTTGTTGGTACATTATACAAACATATTTCAGATACAGCAAGCCTATTTGAATTTCCACTTATTCATGTAAGGTTTAATGGTTAATTACATGTACTTGAAGATTAATTTATGCATGCTTGGAATTAATAATTAAACATTTGGGTAGCATAATTTAAAAAAATATTGCTAAACATTAATCGAGTGACAAAATTATAACAGAATGTTTTGTAAACTACAGATTGAAATTTTTGTTACTCTGTCTTGAACAGAAATAAGACAATTTCTTTAATACGTGTAGCTGAATAACTTAATGTCATTAAAAAGGAAAAAGAGAAAGCAATATTAAAAGATGTTAAACAACAAAAAAAATGATACTGTGTGACATTTCTGTATCCAGCAGCAGAATGGTCAGGAGCTACTCCCCCCTGACTGTCCTCCCTTTGCTACTCCCCCTCCCTCTCGACCCACTATCTTTAAGTTAACTACCAACCTCCCCCCTTGCTCACTTAGCTTACAGTATCTCATCTGGGTCTGCCCCTGGTAACAGATAACTGTATGCATACTATGCATTATGTATTTCTCATTGTTTCTTGTCTTTCACTAGCATAGCTGTATGTTGTCCTCCAGAAGACACCCCTAACACTTCATGGAGGTCAGACTGCAAGTTCTTCCCTTCAACTTTAGTGGGTAAGAATTCATCCTCGTCTTCCCCTGTACCCAGCTGCAGACAACTTCCAAAACCCCATGAGTACAAGTCACCCTTATTTGTGACTGCCAAGCTGACAGCTTCACCACAAGCGACCTTGCGAATGGGGTTACCGTCCAATGCCATAACCTGAACTGGGGTCGACGTCTCTTTTGCATCATCACCTAAACCAAGCCTTCCATATTCTGCTCTTCCCATTGCGTACACTTTGCCAGATGAATCTAGTATGATTGTGTGGTGTTGGCCACTAGCTATGCTGACACACTTATCACTGTCCACGTTTAAAGATGTCAGGGATTCAACTTTCACAGGAGCATATAAAGTTTCCAAATCTCCAGTTCCTAGTTGACCATAGTTGTTTAAGCCCCAAGCATAAACTGGTCCATCTTGAGCAACAGCAAATGTCGAATAGCTGCCACAGAAAATGTCTTTAAATTTAAGTCCTTTCTTCTTGTCTCGCACCTGTTTTGGGTTTAAGATGTACTGTAGACCCCTGCGGCCTCCTCGACTGGTAAAACATCCCATTATTCTTCCTAACTGACCTTGCTCTGCACACCCCCAAGTGAATATGTTGCCGTTCTTTGTTAGTGCAGCTGTATGATCATTTCCTGAAGCTATTTTGATTATGGGGTCATTTTGAAGGGTTAGAATAACAGTAGGCTTGTGCTTGATGCCATCTGCTTGAAGGCCCACCTGTCCACTGGCATCCTGTAAGAGGGTAAAAGAAGATCCATTACAATGCAAAAACCTGTCTTCATTGAGGCTCCTGCAGAGAATTCAGCCATTAAATAAAGGAAGCTTTGAGGAAATAGAGGTCAGTTCATCAAGTATCAAATCCAGACTCAAAGTGAAATCTTGTCAACTTCAGCGCTTTACTGCAATTCTTATGAAAAGTATTGAAAAAAGTGCTGCCTGGTCATCTGGGACGGGTAGAATTTCTTGCTGGGCATTTGCCCAATGTGCATGGGCTCAGGTTTGTTGCTGGCCAACTTTGAGAGCTACCTGTTCAAAGGGCAAGCTGAAGTTTCATTCTTTTTTTCTCAAGCCCTGGTATTAGTCTGCATTTTGCAATGATCATAGCAACAAAACATGTCCAGTTTAAAATGTACAAGCTTTACACTGAACAGTTCAATTAGTTTTGCAACTTGCATGTTCCTCATCAGGCTTATAATGAAGCGATACATATGTATCAGCCTGGCTTAGTTTTTCTCAAAAAAGGTTTGCACAGACCAGACCTACAATGCATACAGGTGCACATAGGTTGGCATTCTTCTGGAGTTAGCTGAATTACACTTAACACCAAGCTGTTAAGACTCAATACCGAATTGAGTCAGCGGTACAGCCATTGCAGCTACTAGTCTTTCATGCAGGAAGGGAGCACACTGAGTATGCACTGCAGATCTATTTTGGACTACAAATTACCCTGTATGTTCCCCAGCCATACACAGTTCCATTGTCGGATAACGCCATTGTGTGACTGTCTCCTGCTGATACCATGATCACATTAACAGTTTCCATCTCTTGTACTGGTCCAGCTGTAAACTCCTCCCCACCACTGCTTGAGGTCACTCGACCGAGAGCACCTTCGTCATTACACCCCCAGGTGTAAACCTGCGTAAGGAAGCAATGACTGTTATCTAAACTACAAATGATACCTGTATCTAGACTTGTTTTTTTTGTTCACTCTTTTCTCATCTCTGGAAAAATTACTTCCCTGTCTTCAGATGGGTCTTGTAAGCTGTACAGCAACTGGCAAATGTAGGTTATTAAAAGCTGCTTTACCATTATATGACTTATTGTTTGTTTTTTAAGCTAGAGAACTGCACGGCTCAAAATATGCCTAACACTTTCATTCATTAATGATGCGACCTAAGATTAACAGAAAGAAAATTCTGGTTAACTTCCTTCTCCCTGCAGAGCTGAGATTTGTTAGCATCTGCATTTTTTCCAATCAAGACTTGTGGATAATGTACAACTTCTATTGTGACATTAGCAATAGGGCATTTCTTTGACGTGTTACTAAAATGATTTTTCACTTTCAGATAATACTAGTTGTCAAGGGTTTATCACCGTGAACTTTACCTGTAAAGCAAACGTAATGAAACTCGTGTGTTTGAATAACTAATTTTGCTGTGATTACCTTTCCTTTGTTAGTGAGGGCCACAGTGTGCATTCCTCCACATTCCACTTGAACAATCTCCAGGTCATCAAGCCCTTTCACAATCGCTGGTTTCTTTCGTTCTAAAATATCTTCCCCTAGACCCAACTGACCAACATCTCCCTGGCCAAGTGTAAGAACATGACCAGTTTCTCTGAGGTCAGAAGTAGCAAGTGCCTCTGTAAAAAAGAAAAAAATGTTCACTGCATTAAAAGCCAGATTGAGGAATATAAACAGCAGGCTGAGCAACTCAAAGAAAGTCTNAGGAACATTGGCCAAATTACCAGTAATCCCAAGCAAGTTCAAAATGGGTTCCCTGTGACCTTCAGTAGAAGTAGATAGATAGATAGATAGATAGATAGATAGATAGATAGATAGATAGATAATCTTTATTTAAACACGGTAAAAACTTCGTCAGCTAAATCTGAATAACTAATAATAAATAGTAATTAAATAAAAAAAAAAGCTGCTTTCTACGAATGTCATGCCTTATACATCTCTTTTGAGTAGGCGTTTAAACTGCCTCATGGACTCCTTAGTGATTTCTGCTACAATTTTTGTTGCACTCTAGCTAGCTCAGGGCTTTCATTAAGAGCTGGGCACCAGTCAAATTGAGAAGCTGTGAGGATGATTTGCTTATCCGGCTGGACCATCTAGAGGAACGTTTTTCTTATATTGACCATCACATTTCGCAAGTCTCATGGACCGGTGTAAGCTCAAAAACTGAGCTCACATTTAAGCTCATGAAGCTTCTGATGGAGTTTGTAGATCTTTATACAATGCAATTTTAAAAAAATGCTCCAGGAGAGCATCAGGATATTCTGAGGATAGCTAACGATGAGGAATTAAATACAGAGGTCTGAAGAGTGTTGAAATACCGCTATACATGGACGAGACAAGATTCGCCGGTTCAGTAACTTTACCTCGCTTTTCCTTTTTCTTGTCATCTACTTCTTTCGCCGGCGCTTCTGCTTTCCTTTTGGTTGGCTGACGTTTTCTTGCAGGCATCCTAAAGTCCTGAAATGATTTTCTTGCTAAACAGTGCTATAAACAAGCGAAAAAAGCTAAAATTTCCGCGAAAGAATTGCAACACAACCAACCTCGTGGAAATGGCTGAGAATGTGCGCGCGCACAGATGGCGGGAGATTTGAATCAGTCCCATGGGAGTAAGTTTTTGAAGTTTTTCGCCGAATCATATCATTTGAAATTTATCAAAATCGTTAACATTTAGTTTAATTTCATCTCAGAATTGCTTAATATTCTGTGGGTAAGTTATCGATCATTAATTTGTATTTTCCTTCGCATTTATTTTTTATTCCCCAACCTGTCCCCGCCCTTTCCCCGTTGGTAAATATTTTGACAATTTCACACATGCGCAGACTTGCAACCATCTGGAAGTGGAATGAACATGGCTGCCGCGTCATGAATGAACTTCGAGAGATTATTGGCGATAGTTTCTCCAATTTCATCTCGATGTGTGGGACACAAATATGTTCCATAACAGGAGAGCCCATCCGGACATCAAGAAAACTACGCACAGATTCATAGATCCCAAAAAGGAAAGCCATAGTAGGCTGCGGGCACTGCGAACTCTGTTAGGTACGTGCAACCTTGCACTGCAGTGCAAACCTGTTTTGAAAATGAAGACAGCTTGCGATCTGCATGCAGCGAGCTATTTAGCTGATTAGCCTTTGCATTTCTCCCTCAGATTACTTTGACTCGTCCGACTCCAGGATATTTTTCCAAAGCCATTATTCGGAGATTTTCTACGTATTTCACGATGTGTTCTCCATGGTTGAAGCAAATCTCAAGACGAAAGGTCAGTGTTTGAAATAAACTTCACCAGCCTGACAGTGGCCATTTGCACGGATATTGGACACAGTGATACTGTGGTGTGGCACAGGAGTGCTAATTTCAGTTCTGTTGTTGTTGGGATCGCCTTTTTCAAGATATAACTGATGATATATTTTAGGACAATGAGTGATGTAGTTTTACACCCCTAATGCTGATCGCAGCGAATGTTTTAATGCCATCTATGTAACCTTATATTTTCCCGTTTACCACTATGTTTATTTTTCCCAGGCCACAAGTCCCAAAGAGAAGACCTCGATTCGGTTCTCTTCATCTTAGAGGTAAGAAATAAACCCTTTTTAACCGTGTTAAAAATCCTTTGTTGATATTTTCCAACGCGGTTTGGACCGCAGTGTTAATTAACAGTCTCTAAGAGCGGCCACCAAGGTTATGTTACAAGGTAAACGATGATTCTAAATGCGAACTTGATGAGCGATCAATTGACAGTAGTTTTGCTTTGTCTGAAAAATAATGAAATTGTTTACGTTGTATCTTTCACTGAACAGAAAATATTGCTATATCTGCCCGAGCTAGTCCACAAGAGATGGCAGTTCCACAGCTTAGGTACGTAATCCCTCGGTTGTTTTACATCTACATCTACTTGTAATATCAATTTAAAATTCATTAGATATTTTAATTGTAACGGGTCTCTCTGCACATGGATATTAAGATAGAATTAACTGTGAAATTTTCATGGCTACCTTCTGGATAAAATTGTTTTTTAAAATTATTAAATGTTCTTTTAAATTATATTTTGTTCAAATTCCTCTAATTATTGCAGAGCTCATGATTGCAACAGCTTCCTGTTGTGAAAAATTTATATCTCACATTAGGATTTTTAAATGATTATAAATGTATAAATGTTATATGACAGAGGTACAGTGTATATTTAATTATGACATTTTTTATGATAAATTTGTCGGAGATTTTATATTTTTTAGGCTTAATTTATTCTTGAGAAAAAATTGCATCTATAGGCTGTCATTAATTAAGGGCTGTAACCCAATTTAACGCCTGTTATGGCTGAGTATGTATGGGTGAAATTAAATTGTCTGTAGTTGAAATAATTCACCCACAAAGTAACAAGTTTGCTACAGGTGTGGAGAGCAAGGGTACAGGTGACTTAAAACTTAATGACAGCCCTGAAAGCTGTTTTAATTATATTGGAGCCTTTGTCATCAGCTGCAACAAAATTACAAACTTGGAATTGACAACACCATTTTGTTGATAGCTAAAACAGGCTTCACTTTGGTTTGAAAATCTTCTAAATTTTTAAATGAGGAGAGTCTACACAGAAATGTTTCATTGTTTGTACCCCTTGACAGACTGTTATCTAGCCTTATCAGTAGCTATCTTGGTGTCTTGTTGTCTAAGCTTGAATGACTGAAGACTCACTCAAGCATTAAATTTAGACACCTACATTAACTTGGAGTAGCCTGCATTTTTAGCAAAAGTAAAATTAAAAATGGACCGAGGCTTCAGACAATAACTCTCCATACTTGTAATAAAATTATTGTTATACTGTTATTGTTGTCGAAGAGGAATGACCGGTATCTCATGTTGCTGAAGAATTATTTTTGCCCCATTGAATTCTTGTACAGGGAGGATAATGCGAAAGCTTCTACATCACGGAAATGCAATTAAGGTGAGGAGTAGTAATCCTTTAAATCTTTATAAATCTAGTTTTTAAGTTAACAGTTGCATATTTAACTACAATTCTTTTTGTTCTTGTTTGATTAAATTACCATTAATACTTAGTCTGTTTTCTCCGCTGTAGCTGCGACGTGAGGGTGCTCGGCTGTTCATGCTATGGTTCCAAGTGTTACAGGACAACGCGGATGAGTTCTGCCAACTTGTCTATGCATGTTTGATTCCTGGTTTTCCAAATCCTGTTGAAAAAATTGACTGGAGTAAGAGTAAGCTGTCTAAAGCTAGTGCTGAGGAAATATGTTTATCTATCAGTGGCACTGGATCAAGAGATCAATTTTTGTCTTCCAGCAACATGCACTTGTCTTCTGATAGGGAAAGTGAAGGTTGGTTTTTATTTTTTTTTTTAAATGGGAAAACAAATAATTAGTTTTCTGTGCTTGAGGTTTTGAGGTATTACAATGTTTATTAGTACCTGAAACAATTGGTTTGCTGTATAGGGTCTGAGAGTCTATCACCACCATACATAGACCAGTTACTGTAATTAATTAATTACTTAATTACTTAATTAATTAATTAGATTATGTATTAATTATTTACATGTTTTTATTTATTGATACTGTACCTTTTTATTCAGACCACTAAATGCCATCACCTCTTAGTTCTTAAATACATGTTAATATAATAAATTTAGACTCGGATCACAATGTGTAATTCTGGAAATGAAAGTGAAGGAACCAATTATGAGGAACTGTGTGCAAACCTACAAGTAACCAGTAATGATTATTTTATTTTCTAGACTGGTGCTTACAAGATGATGTTGGACCAATCTTCCCAGCAAATCCAAATGAAAGAATTCCAGTTCCAGAATCATTGACAAAGTTCTTCCTGGACAGAGTCCTGGATTGTATGAGTACTCAGGTACGAGTGTACAGCGACAATGTATTGTGCTTTCGTGACTTGAATAGCTTGCTGAATACATTGCACAATATCTTAAGGCTGTGGTCTAAGAAAAATTTAGCAGAGCCCAAAGGTTCCTAACCATGAAATCCTGGCTGCCTAGCACTTCAGCTTAATACAAAAAAGTGAGTTTTTCAGTCACCCAAAGTCAAAAGTTAGTTACCTGTAGCACATGGGCGCTTCTAGTGCACAACCCTGATCTTGCTGACTGGTATCTTCAATCTTTTGTGATTTTCCACAAAATAAGGAATTTAATGTCAGCATGATTGCCTTTTTATGACAATTTCTTCTCATTTTGAGCTTTCTCTACACACTCCCTGTGTTTGAATGTAACATATTAATTCAGTGAGTCAGAAAAAGTGTCATCCTTAATCAAAAATGTTTCTTTACTTTTCAATGGGCGATTTTAATTTTTTAAACAATTTTTAATAATTTTAATAATGTGCAGTGGGAGAGGTATGGATATTTTCTGGAACTACACAGTGCAGCTTCAAATCTATTTATGATCGATATTCATTTTGTGTCTTTTTTCTGTAGCTTGTCCTTGTTGAGTGGACAGATACGAGAAAGAGAGAATATGCTTTCTACTTCTTATTTGAAAGCTTCAAAAAGTTCTATCTGCCGTACATCTTCCAAGACTGGAATCCATCAAAATTACTATATCAGTCCACCCCCGGTGAGTGCATGCTTAGATGGTTTACTTTAGAATCTATTCCAGGCGCACACTGAAACTACAATTCTGAGAATTTTAGTGGAAAAGTAAAATAATAACAAACACCAACAAAATGCCTCTTGCTCCTTGTAGTTAACTATTTAAATTTATTTTAAACTAAATTTAAGGCAGAATTGATTGGCTTTTGTAGAAAGGTGATCTTGAATAATTTGTAGGATGAGCGCTTTGGAAGTTTGACTCTACCTCTGAAAAGATCAAGCATTGGTTTTGGGCCTTTTTGAGGTATATCCTGTAGAAACATTTTTTAATGTCTATTTTGGGATTTCGTCACTGTGGTCAAATTATTAATTTGCAGTTGCCCAGGTTCCGCGCAGTAAATCCAAAGCAGGAGACACTAAATTGGACACACGGATGAACAGTGCCAGGGAATCTGTCCTGAGATGGTTTGTTGCCTTCACTGTCAGGTTCAGGAGAAGTGACAGCACCTCAGAATCATCCAATGTCAATCAATCTGTTGTGTCAATATCTTCAACAGAAGGTAGCGAGCCACCTTCCCCAGGACCAGCAAGTGACCACAACAGGTTTAGTCCAGCTCGCAACAAAGAGTACTTACAAGATGCTAGTGAAGTGATCAGAAAGGTTTTGTACTCCACCAGGTCAAACATACGGCTTCTTCATGAGGTTTTGCGTCAGGTATGAAAGAAAAACTGCACACAAATGTGTGGATGTGTAAGGCAAAAATTTGGTAACTTAGTCATTACTCTAAGTTTTCTTTTGTTTTTGTCCTGACGTAAAGAAAATTTGACAAGAACGAAAGCTAAACTATAACTTGCGATGAAACAACCAGGTTGAGATCAGTTTGCTTGCACAAATGAAACATCACACCGCAATTTACATTATACGTGACAACTGGTGGTGAATTTTAATTAGAGGTTGTCAACGTGCCGTAAGGGGTTAATGAGATGCAAAAATAGTTTTTCTCTCTATCTTAAAAAGTAAAAAAGCTTTTTTTCCATTCTTTTTGCAAAATCTTTATCTCAGTCTTCCTACTTTGAACAGCAAAAAAAAGATTTTTCACATTTTTCATAAAAATTCACCTACCATGATACCTTAAGTGACATTGTATGATTATTTGAAATTTTATTTAATTTTTTTTTTTTTTTTTTGATGTACTTTTCTACAGGGATTTCTTCTTCCACCCAAACATTTAAGCACTATCAGACAGGTGCTGCTGGTCTATCATGAGTGGCTGAGGGTGAGTAATATTGCAGTCCGTGGTTGTTCTACAATGATAAACTATGTTTCTTTTTTCAAACACTAGGGCAACCTGTTAGATTATGCTGTCACAAATATAATTTACACTTGCTGAATGCAGAAGTTCAACACTTTGACCTTAAAAAACTACTCTGATCCACCTCAAGACTACAATTCCAGCTCAGTGTTGATGGTTTCTATTCATAGGTGTATGTAACCATGCCTGTACACTTTATGACACTTGAATTTCATAAGTTCTTTTCTACCTTAGCACCAGGGCTGTCATTAAGTTTTGAATCACCTGTAACCTTGATCTTCACTCTTGTAACAAGCTTGTCACCTTTTGAGTGAATTTTATCAACTATAGGCAAGTTCAATCATTACATCAAGGGTCCATCAAACTTACTGTACTCAGCCATAGCAGGTGTTAAGGGTTACGGTCCTTATTGACAGCCCTGAGCACTATACTTACAACTCAGAAACCATGTCTCTGTCAAAACTACATTCTTACTACTGTTAATCAATGACATAAGTTTGCTTTTTCTATTGGTTTGCCAGAATCCTGAGAGACCTGTGTTCATGCAAGAACCTGATCAAGATGCATTTTCCTCCTTGGATGTCGTAGACACAAACAATTACAGTCCTCAAAGTCCCATCAGAACTTTGTCATATTCTTACGCTGTAGATAAAGAAAGAGAGAAAGTTTTCCGTCTACCACATGAGGATGTGAGAGCTGGTCTCCAGGCAAATCTGAGGTTTTTTATTTTACATTCAGCTGCTGTGTTCCTTGTGGAAGACGATACGTCATGTTTGGACAAACAGGTTTGTCTAGATACATGAATGATTTTCATTAAGACAATAATAATAATATTATTGTCTGGTGCAGTTCAAACAAAGTGTCACAGAAGCCTATGTTCTTGGCTTCAGTTGGCCAAATACAACATTGTAGAGTAGGCAAAACACAGACATGGTTTTTCACATTTGCGCATTTTAAAGAGCAGGTACAAACATGTGGGCACATGTTTCTTCTGTATGTTTTTGATATTTACATGCACTTTCATATCCATAACATTGACAGTGTTATTCCATCTCCAGTAATTGATTAAGCATGCAGTTTTTGTAATTTAAGTTGTTAAGGAATGTTATGTGACTACATGTATAGTGTAGGGACTTTCACCCTACAGTGTCAGTGTAGTTCATTTTGCAATCATACAATGTTTGACTTTTGTTAGATTAATATTTTTAACTGGTCTTTTGCTTTCTGTGTTCTCTACTACCCAGGTTGATGTCTGCAAACGAGTCATCCATCTGTTCCGCAGTGTCGTGTTAGAAGTTCCAATGGAACCAAGCACTTGGTAGAGCATTCTTACACCTTTCAAGCACTTATTTACACACCTACTGCACATGGAGATCTCTGTTTAGTGTGTCCTGCCTAACAATGTACATGTACATGTATGACAAGCACAGTTCAACCAATGCTTGACCATAGATTTGAGTTTCTTACTAATGAATTACTTTCCAGATTCAAGCTTCTGCATTCTTGAACTATTTTGATCCTCATTTTCCAGATCTTACTAATTACTTGCATTGTAGATTTACAATAATATTGTTATGAATTCTTGATTCTTGCCATTGACTGGTTATTTTTCTTGTTTGTCCACAGGGAACAGATGTTAGAAGCCATCCTTGAAGCATCAAGACATCTGTTAGTACCTGAAATGTCACAGAACAAAGCTGGTTTGCTAGCTAGACAAGTAGCAGGAAGCTTACTCCAGGTTGGCCCAGATGTGTCTTGTAATAATTATATCAAACTTCTCAAACTCATTAATAATTCATCAAGTTAAGAACAAAGGAAATCATGACCATTGCGGTGTTTCGATATTTGATCTTAATTAGCGTAGATTTTTACGATTTCATTTCTCCGTTTTCTCCTTAGCTTTAGTCTTGATTAAGAAGATATATCAAACACTTCCAAACACCTTGAAGTTCGTTAAAAATACTTCGCTGCGTGTCATATTTTTTAATTCTCTTCTCGGCGTTTGGAAATGTGGTCAAACACAGCCTTTCGTGTTTGATATATTGTATGAATTTGACCATATTTCCAAACACGGAGAAGGCAGTTGAAAATGCTATGCACAGTGGAGTATTTTTGGTGAACTTTGAGATGTTTGGGAATTTGGTGAAATGCTATAATTTCAAGTTTTGATAATATTTATTATGTTATTGATCAAAACTAAACTAACGAGAAAAGTAAGAAATAAAATCATAAAATTCTATACTCAGTTAAAAGTCTAATATCTAAACCCTGGTCACAGCTAAGATTTCCTTTGATGAATTATTAATCAGCTTATTAACTAATTCAGTGCAAACTGTACAGTCATGTAATTGTTTGCATTGCATTTTTGTAGCTCCTCTGTTTATTAAATACATGTAGACTGACTTAAATTGATTGTTTATTCTTTTCCACCCACTAGACTCTCTTTGTAACATGGATTCGGGCAAACCTTAAAGTGAATGTCCCGATCTCATTGTGGGACAAGTGTTTAGAAGTTATGTCATCATCAACTCACTGGCGGGAAGTCATCTCTGAGTGGAGTGTACGTAGTTACAGTGTGTTTGCTAAACCATTAAATTTTATGGTTATGACAATGATAACAAAAAAAAAACATTATTTTTAGGCCCAGTTCAGATGCTGTGCTTCTGCCGTGTTGAACTAAAATCAGGAATTAAGTTCAACAGTAGTGCAACAGAAGCTCAGCATCTGGATCAAACTTTTGAATTAAGTTCCCACGGGGAGCTAGGAGGAGAATTGTTACGAGACTTCAGTAAATCCTGAATTTGGTACAACTTGGCACGATGTGTGAATCAGAGTTGTGTTTCTGCTATGCTACAGTCAGACCTAATTGCAATTAAATTTGGCAGGGCAGAAGCACGACGTTTGAACTGGGTCTTTTTCTCAATAATAACATGCAGATAACATAATTTATAACTGCTGGTTTTCCATGTTTAGTAGAAATCAATAATGCATTACTTGCTTAAGATCTGTCACAAGTTGTCAGAATTTGACCCAGAATAAAGTTCAAAATATGCTTAAGCCTCTCTTCACTCAGGATTATAAACTATTAGATTATAATTTTGAGAGGGCAGTGTCATACCAAAGAACACAACTCTTTGGCCCTGGCAAAGTTTGAATCCACACCCATCAATCCAAATCCATTGGGCTACAGCACGTCCCACAAAGGTCGCTAAAGAACACCCCTTCTGCATTCCCATTTGTACAGGTAACTATGGAAACATTAACTAGAGTCATGGCAAGAACTGTGTATGGACTAGACATGGCAGATCTTCCTCTAGAAAGACTTACAGAACAGAAACGTAAAAGACGACCTCATGTGCAACAGGAGCGAGCGCAGTTTAACAAGGCATCCTTCTCCCGGTGGAGTCGGATGGAAAAACCAAACGTTCCGAAACAAATTGTGTTGCCAGAAGATAAAATTGCTGAAAGTGAAAAATCTGATACACCAGCGTTGCAACAAGTACAAAAGCCATCTGCATTGACAAGACAGGAAGGTGTTCAATTGCTGTCTAGTAGTTCCCCTAAAAACCAGCCAAAGGTGCCATCAAATGCAAGCAGTGTTTCCTTTTCCACAAGTACATCAGGTGATCACGAGGCTCCCTTGAGAAGCGTTGCATCATCTCCCACTGTCGCTGCAGGTTTGTTGCCTTGAGTATTGTTGTTGTCTGTTGCAATTGATGGAAAATGATTTTGTGATCTACTTTGTACTTGCACTCATAGCGTGGATGTCCACTGAATTGCATTGCACATTGTTGCTGCACATGATTTTTGCATCATTAGTCAGTTGTCTTCTTATGCGATACACTCTGAGAAAATGTGTGACAAAAGTATTAATATATTGCTTCCAAAACATTTTGCAAATTTGTTAAGATATGATGCTACTTTCTGCAGGTTCAGTAACAGCCAAAGAATCTGAGACTGCTGGTCAGCTCTCAAAAGATGCAGTGCGTAAAGACAGCAAGGAAAGTAGCCATGAAGAACAGAGGGTGACTTTCTCATTGGCGAGTGACACAGATAGTTTGGACAGCCTTGACATGCAATCAAAGGCTGATCAGGACACTGAGGTGCATGCTAATGAGGAATCTGATAAACCAGTTGATGCAACTGATGTGGGACTGTTTTCACAACGGATGAACCGCTTAAGTAGCAGTGACAGTTATTTGTCAAGCCAAGACAATGTGAAATCATGGTATGGTAGCAGTCTTGACTTTGATGTCAGCTCGTGTTCCAAGTACCCCGGTTCTGAATCACCCAAGTTACTTGACAAGATTAATGAATCAAGTCTTGAGTCTAAACTGGAGGAATTGCACCTAGGTCAAGTTAATCACCGATCTATGAAAAGAACTTCAACTCCATCTCATGAGGTCAGGTTGGAGCAAGGGGAGGTAGGCAATGTGGAACCCCTGTCGCCAGTGAAAGAGGAGTTTAATCATGATATGGGAGGCCGGTCCTCTCCGGAATCATCTGGAAGAGGTTTGTATGTTTGGAGCTTGTGATTTAATTCTGTCCTTATTATTAAACTCAATTCAGGACATGGGGTGCTTATTAAAACATTAATTTTGGTAGCTGAAGGGCGATGGATGTTTGGGACACTTGTTTTTGTTTTCCTGCCTTGACATCTCTGAAGTGTTGAAACTTCAAACCATGAACTTGCTTAAATTTGCCCTAAAGGATTAAACAAACAAAACAAACCGTTTTCAAGTCATGTGTAAAGTTAATTCAGTACACTACGCCTGTACATGTAGGCTGCTTATTGGAGGGCATTAAGTAGAAAAGGAACCTTTGTTGAAATAAGGGGGCTTGCTTAATGTAGAATTGTTTAGGAACATATAATTAGAGGAAGGCCACTTACATACGTATATTGAACAAGGGTGTTATTAAAGCCCCGTTCACACTATGCCAGAGTAATTTGAAAATGCACCTTTGTTTGTACGTTTAGGCCTACTGTCCACACTAATCCATCACGAAAATGGAGACTTTTGAAAACGCTCTTCAAACTTGAGGAATTTGAAAACGCCGGCTTTGCGCTCAGTGTGGACGGAAGACATTTTGAAAACAGAGCTTTTTGATCGAAATGGTGATGTTACGATAATCACGTGATTTTCCTGCCCGAGTTATCCTCAAACGCAAATCCAAAATGACTAGTGATTGTTGTGTTTTCAATTTTCTCCAGCGTAGTGTGAACGGAAAACAGAGTAAAAACGCCGTTTTCAAATTTCTTTGGTGTGTTGTGGACAGGGCCTAAGATCAAATCTTTACAATATCGTATTTACGTTAAAAGCCTTGTTTGTTGCCATTTCAGAAACTCCTGACGACCTGGAAGCAGGGTCAAGAAGTCCATCCCCTGAGGCGCTCCTAGAGGAGCCCCATGAGGAGCTTCTTGATGATGACTTTGTGGAGGAAGACCCTCATGAAGAAGATACTAGTGTAGTGGCCGGAGGTTATAGGGAAGGGTGGGGCCCTGTGGCGGCAGTTGTCTTGTGGCGCAGAGTGCTGGGAATTCTGGGCAATGTGAATAAGATCAAAGACCCTGCCATCCATGCTAAAGTGCTGGAGTGTCTTACGTCAATCTGGAACATGCTGGCAAAGGTAATGTTTACATTGAACTTCATTTGATCAATCTCATTTAAAATTTTCATTCAAGTTATTAGGCGGTAATTTTCATGTTTATAATATAAATGTAACGCACACTTGATAATTTCATGGAAAGTCGCGGTATAAAATTTTTCAATGTTATTATTGATTATTGTTCAAGAAAATGAAGGGAAAACAGGAGAAAGTAATGGTCAAAATAACTCCCTGTACATATCAACAGCCACATTTCTCTCATTAAATTTAAGGTGGCGCTCAACCTGTTTCAACATTTTTTATAACAATTAGAATAAGTGTGTACGTATTTTGTCGGTTGAAAAAGAGAAACCGTCACTGGGTACTAATAATTCTTTTGACTTATATTTATACATTGTATTGCACTCTAGATCCGATTAAATCAAGGCATCTCAGTGGACAACAAGTCAACTCCACCCATTCCTGTTTTGCTTCCTCCTCTACAGCACATGGCCACGTGGGTGTTTGAGGTGTGTATCGTAAAAAGCCACTATGTTGTAACTGCAGACCTGACCCAGCCCTGTAACACAGCTGTAATTTTTTTTCTTGAGGTACCTTTAGGCACCTCAAGGGAGGGTGCTTATTCGAGATAGGGCGCTTGCTGCTTTTTTGAGAAACAACCGAATGTCAAAACAAAACTTTAATACGGTATTTATTAAAAAAAGAGAAACAATAACAGAAACTGTAACAGTAACAAATGTACGGTGAATGAGTAAGAAAAAAATATACAAGAATATTGGAATATGTGCGCTCAATAGAATAGGAGCGCTTATTGGAATAGGGGTCCCTTATTAATAAAAACACTTTCAAAGGGGGGCGCTTATTCGAGAGGGTGGGCTTATTGGAAGGAGGGCGCTAAATAGAATGATTTCGGTAGTTACAACTGAACGCAATTTTTTGCAATATTTGCCAATGTCTACATGTATGTGCCTTGAGCTGTAATTTAACCCTTATATGCATGTGGCTAATATGGAGATCTTTTTTCCTTTATTTAGGCTGCTTCCTTGTCCATTAATAATGAATTTAAAAGTGGTCGTCTTCTTGCTTACAAACTGATGTGTGCCATGACAGTTTGCCGTCAAGATCTACCACTCACACAGGAGTACTTGACACACTTCTACCGTCTGATGCACATTGGACTCACAGGAACTGATCAGGTAAGTTCACTCTGGATAATTTGGACAAAAGGTCATTTGGAAAACGTCTTGTAATTACATTAAGGAAGTGAATGCACAGTAACAGCTTTTTATTTTGAGCAGTAGGGCACTTTCTCCGTGTTTACATAGCCTCATCTAAACACGAGGGAGGTTCGGAGAATTCGAGACGCATAACTTTTGTAAATTTTCCCAACCCACAAAGTGTTTAGATCAGGCTATGTAAACACGGAAAAAGTGCACTATTGCTTTTATAAATATTTCTCAAAAATACGCGCGAATCTAAAATGCCACAACCGTGTTTTCATACTCTCATCTAAACACCCCCATCGACCAGTGAGCGCGCGTGTAGTATCTCGGTTATTTTATAAACTCACATAAAAACCTTCATCTTGTGTTTTTAAGGATATTATAAGTGCCATTGCTAGTAAGCTACTGCCTGCACACATTGAGCCGAGTTTAACGAACTGTCACACACGTTTCCCTTGTGTTTTTAAGGATGATATTAGTGTCATCACTAGTAAGCTACTAGCTGTGCACATTGAGCTGAGTTTAACGAATTGTCACACGTGTTTCCCTTGTGTTTTTAAGGATATTATAAGTGCCATTGTTAGTCGCTGTGCACATTTCTTCTCTGTGATGCTGCCAAGTTCCAGTCTTTTGATCCTTGACTTCATTCAGGCAACTAATGGGGTTATTGTCAGTCAGAACATGGAGGTGAGAATTTCTCTTACGCTTTGGTAATACACATGAGATTTTGTAACATTATTTAGACTCCGTCCACACTACACAGGAGGAATTTGAAAACGGAGGTTTCACTCTGAAAACGCGTCAAATGTTTTCGTCCACACTA